TAGTTACATTATCTGCATAAGTAATCTAGGATTACATTAACATTAACTCTATTGTCACAGAATTCTGCTTTTTAAATCATTAAAAGTAAAAATATCCAAAGAAACTAACACAAAATAATAGAAATCAAAAGCAAAATTCATTAGCAGTCTGATCTCCACTATTTACTAATGCGATATTTAATTATTGGCATCAAATAAAAACTGTTACTATAACATCTGAATATTTCATTATTAGGAAAGTGGATAAGGTTGTATGGCTGATCAATATATAAAGTTCCATTGTGTTTTACAAGGGATGTCAAAAAGTAAGTGGCAAAAATCAACTGAAATTAAAGCAATGTGAAAGTTGTAAACAAAACAAGTTATTGGAACTGCCAGAACAGCCTTGATATTGGATACATGCATATGTAATGTCACAAGAAAGATGACTGCTACCATAATACTGTGGACACACATCAAGGTTGTCAGGTTACCTTCTCCTAATTTTCAAAACCACTACTTGAGGACGCTTTCTGGACTATAAATACTTGACAATATTTTTTTTGCTCACTTCTTACCTTATTCGCTTATTTGTCAACATGCAACCTATCATGGAGAATGTGTTTTCAGTGGGAAATGTATGAACAATACATACACACACATATACATACACACATGCACTCATTACACATACTTTGGACCAAAAAGGTTTTCACATACATTTGTTACACATATTGTTGTCTTTGTCACTTGTAATCCTTTTTTTTAATATGTTATCATTTGTTTGTATATATATATTGATTCTTGTCATTTCTTTTCATTTCTTTACATGGACTCACATCTCGAGTCTGCCATGTTTATTGTATTTGTAAAAGAGACACTGTGTTATTCCCAATTTCAAACATCGACATTACTAACTTCCTCAACAGGTTGGGAAATGCATAAACCAGTCCACAACAAGGTACAAAGTGTAATGAAATTTTTGCATGCCAAGATGAACTCAAGTTCCACAGCATGCACATTTCTTTTCAGTTTTTCAGAACAATATAGGAGGTCTGATGCAGACTTTCTAGAGCACATGAATATGGGTCATGTAACCTGTGTGCTTCCTGTTATACCCAGAGTCAGAAGTTGATTCCATAACCTGGAAGCCTCTGTTGCCACCAATCTCCACAAAATCCAAAGTTCAGCAGTCACAATAGAAATGGTTGCTGTGTTCTGGGATGCAAAATGTATACCGTTCATATACAGATGCTTAGACACTTACTCCAGTCAGATATCTCAAAACACTGGACAACTCAAGCTGTTTATCAAAATGTTTGTATAAGGGTGTCATCATCCTGCTGGTCAGTCATGCCACCACACATACATACATATCCAACCTGACAAAAGAGCAGCTCCAATGAAATGAAACATGTTTTATCACATTCATTGCATAGTTCTGACTTTGCTTCTTTAGATTATCATCTGTTTTCATGCCTCAAATGATGCTTATCTGGGAAGCAGTGATCCCAAAACAAAAGAAAATCTAGAAGTTTAATGTAAGGTACTTTCAAGTCCAAATAAATGGTCCTATTTTCCCCATCTATCTATCAATTTGATGTTTGCATCCAAAACCTCTCTGAAGACACCAGATTAATGTGCAGGTTCTTTCCCATCTCCAATTCTGAAATGTTATCCAATACACCACCTGCACATTCAAGCTTAGAGCTCCTGGTGTTCTCAAGCAGTCACCTATCTAGGTACTAACCTAGCTTGATATTGCTTAACTTCAGTGATCATACGAGAATTGGTTTATATGTGATAACATCTCCACCTAAACTCTGAAATTTTACTGTCCTGGGTAAGACGATAAACTACATCCGCATCCTGGGTAAGGCAATAAACTATATCAAGGCTTCTGATCAGGGGGTTTTGGGGAGCTTGGAACTACCTCTTAATTGCTCAGGCCCCCCCCTGATTCAGGGTGGTAGCACCTGTTAGGGTCCCAACTATGGGAAAATAGTTAACCCCCAAACTGGGTGAAAACACGATGAATGTGTAAAAATAGGTTTTCATACCAGCAATACATTTTTGTAAAAAATTATTGCCAGCAACGAACTTTTGAAAAAATATTAGCAGCAATGCATTTTTGAAAAAAAATATTAGCAGCAATACATTTTTGAAGAAAAAATATTACGAGCAATATATTTTTGGAAAAAAAATATTAGCAGCAATACATTCTTGAAAAAAAATATTACCAGTGTGACACTATTAAAAAAGCACTAGTAAATTGAAAAAAAACTAGAAGATAGAAAAACACTAAATTCCAATAGACTGAAGATAATACTGGTGACCAGATGAGAGAAAATGAAAGAAAAAGATATTTATTTTTTATTGGAAAAAAACTAGAAGAAGGTAATTAAATTTCTTGTCCACCGTAGAGGTAAAACAAAGAGACCATCTGGTTTTGATTAGAACTGAGATTAAGTGATGGGCTATTCTAGAGGTCCAAAGACCTCCCGGAAAAAAATAGATAATATTTTTACAACCATTGAGTGACAGAGAGGAAGACAGACCTCTTACTGCAAGTTTGGTCGATTGATAAGAATTGAATTTTAAAAACTGACAGGTTCCCTGGAAGAACATATGTAAAAGAATGCAAATTAAATTTTTTTGTCTGCTAAAACATGATAAAACCTCATAAAATCAAGGGATTGTTCCCTTTTTGTCACTTGTTGACGAAAGGGTTGACAAGGGAATAAAAAAAATGATAAATCCCAGATATGAAAATGACCACACACAAAAGCACAGTAAGAAAGAATCTTGAGTAATAATTAAAATTTGGCCATTTGGGCTAGACTAGTACTCACACAAAACAGGAAGGAGATGGATTTGATTAGGTGACCAAAAGAAGGCCCAGGTAGAATTCCAAGGAGGGAAGAGGGACTCCCCTATATTTAGACATTTGCAGTGAGGGCTCTGGTTGGTTGTTTGGGGAATGCTGACATTCTCAGAGCACATCATGCCCCACTTCAGCCCTTGCACAGGAGTCCATAAAAACAGAATGCTGAGAGATGGTGGAGACACTTCAGAAGAGACACAGCAGAGAGAGACTGTGGAAACAAGTTCAAACAGGACGAGAACCACCACTTCACCTGATCTCATATGATTTGCTGCCCTGAAGAAAAAGCCTCTAACTTAAATCCTTATTCCAGAAGTATTGTTCCAAAATAATAACAACAGTGTGTCACAATAATCGGGAAGGGTTGATAGTTATTGCATAGAGAGTATAGGCCTACTTAAGCCATCAATAACTGTACCATCAAGGATTGTATATAAATATTTTTTTCTTCTATCCAGTTTATTTTTTTCTTTCGTGTGACTTTACTCTCACCAGAACAGACCAAGTCATCAATTTCAGTCAACCATTCAGACCAAGCCAGTCTTGTGATCAATCAACACAACGTGGGGTGAGACAAGACTTGGGCCGAAGTAATCAACTCTACCATGAGCCAAGAGGATTGAACTTGAATGAGGATTGACCAGGGTAGATGTTATACCAGCAATAAAAATTTTGTTGGCATTAAATAACCAATTGATATACCGTAAAACACAATAAACCAATCTGAAATTTTATTAATTAATTTTTTTAATTTTTCTCCTCAATAGGAGTAGTTAGGTTCCAATTCATCCAATTCACACTCCTCCCCTGTTTTTTGAACAGAAGTAAAGGTTTATCCCTGTTTCAGATTGTGTTTCCGGTTCCTTCTAAAGTCTTTTAATTTTCTTTTACTCCCAGTCGCTCATTGCCTCTTAGTGGCATTATCACCTTGTTTGGGGTGAATTGATTAAAAAATTTTTTTTTTAATTGGCCATAATTCTCAAGTTGTGAAAGCCTGTTTATAATTGATTGCCCCAGCTAGCCATCTTATGTTTTTATTGATCTTCTTTTTTTTCCTATCCTCCTTAAATAGTTTTCTTAAATGATCTAAACTTAGCTTATTCTGACATAAGACCACAATACTTGCATATCTATTGGGTATACTGTTCACTTGTCTTTATTTGTGAAATGAAACTCTAAACCCTATTGATGAGATCTCTGATTATGCCACAAAACATTATGTGTGAAAAAGATAAATCATATGTCAAACCTCTTACTGTAACAGTTTTATCAGATGCATAAGAATGCTCAATGTATAAAAAGCAATCTGTAATTGGCTCATCAAGAAACAAGATGATGCTGGAGGAACATTTATTATGCTGTGTGTGGGGCATTTGTAGTCTGACCATTGTTTTTTATTGACATCTTTCCCTGTCATTTGATACTAAATCCTCATATAGATCTTTTGATGAATAGACCATATAGAAATAGTACAGCAAAGTTCAGAGATTTACAGTATGAAATGATACAATAAAATACACATCTACATAAATCCATTTTGACAGTAGCAAGTCATGGATCATCATGCCTATGACACTTCATGTGAAACAATCTAATACTTATTAATAAAACTCAGGGAATAGAAAATAAAAACAAAAATCTGCCTGAAGAGGAAAACATTGATTTGCTAAAACTTGTAACTACATGTTAAGCAGAGCACAAGTTTGTAATTTACCTTCAGTAAATATGTAGCCTAGAAAAAAATGACTGCTGATAAGGTATTTTTAACTCACTTCCAGAGAGAAGACAGTAATATGGTGTCTTCTTCTTCTTCTCCTATGTGATGTACCCTTCCAGGATGATTCTTGATTGATTGATTAATCCATTTTCTATGGTTTATCAACCTTTTGCAGGTTATTTAAAACCAGAAAATATTTTTAGATTGTAAGATTTTTTTTTATTTTGGTGATAATAATGGTTTAGTGATACAAGTTTTATTAATTAACCCATAGATGGGGGAAGAAGAGGTGGATTCATACGTTTGCCAAAGGTATTTGCATGTAAGTGAATATAACAAATCCAACAGGAATTGGAACTTGGTTACTAATTAATAATTCCAAGCCATTATCCACTACACCACCTGAACATCCAACCTTAGAGCACGTGGTACAGCCAACCAGTCACCCATCTAGGTACTAACCAGGTTCAATGTTGCTTAACTTTGGTGATCATACAAGAACTGGTGTTTCAACGTGATATGGCCATAAGCCTGATCATGGCTCTCTATAACTTCCTATTCTTTGTAGCTCTAAGCAATGTTTGACTTTTTACTATTTTTTCAGTTGTCTCTTTCTGATTCTAAAGATGTACACTTCTTGTTTCCATTTTCCTTAAAACTTCATTGTTGCTCACATGTTCAGTCTATGGTATTTTCAGCATCCTTCTGTAGAACCATATTTAACAAAAAAGCAAAGTTCCTTCCTATGTTACATAACATATGTACCAATGATATTTGTTACCATTTGTGAACCCAGTCATTGCAGGAATTGTCATGGGGCCAGAGTGTTGACTAAATGCTCAAGATATACTACATTATGGAGTTAAAGCATGCCCAATGGCTTTGCTGTTTATCTATACCTGGGAGGAAAAGAAAATTCAAACCTTTCCCAAGAACATTAATGAGATGCGAATGCAAACTGTTCCAGCCAGAGTTTACTTGTCATTGCTTAACTTCAGTGATCATTATTTGTCTATATTTCTAAGATGAGATATTATGTACACTATTTACATTGTTTGGACTATTGTGCTCATCTTTGTTGCCATACTTATTACAATGTTTCGGCCATTGTATACTCCGGCCTTCTTCAGGTGGTTGGAATGTTGAACTGAACCCTTTATTTCGTTCACTGGGTAGACTGTTCTAGTTCCACTTGCCATGTCTAATGGATGTCAGTTATCAGTTATCTCCTGTTAATTCCCCTCTCCAAGCTCTCCACTGCCAGTTATTGAACTCACACTCTTTGGATTCTGTCACTGGATCTAACTAACACCTTTATCCACTGTGCCATATATCCTTAAGATCCAATGACAGAACCCAAAGAGTGTGAGTTCAATATCTGGTTAAGGCAAAGGAAAACAAAGATACTCAAGAGACATTTAACTTTGTTTCAATAGTCAACATAAAAGAAATAAATGTCTGTAGCAGAAACTCAAGTTTTTTTGTATGCTTCTTTTATCTTCTTTGTTTATATATGGAACACGCATCTTCAGCTAAAAAATACACACAAAACCCACAAGGTTGTTAACAACCTCTTGTAGTCATTTCAAAAGATTTTGCTGGTCGACCTCTACTACTTTTGCCATGAGTTGTTTGCCACAGCAGTACATCAGCAACATGCTCTTCTTTATGCTTCTGTATGGTTTCAGTGATAGAATGGATTTTGCGACAGATCTTGTTTGACAAGTGTTAATGTCATAATTCCAGAACATTCTAGTGTTTTCCCCCTTGATAATGCCAGAGTCCAAGTCAATGAGCCATAGATAAGAATGTATATACATTTCTTTTGTATTTATTTACTTTTCCCATCTGAATTTCTGGGATGAAGAGTTATTATTTACACTATTTACATTTGAACTGTTGTCCTCATCTTTGTTGTTATCACAACATTTTCATCAGGTGCTAGAGGGCACAACAACTGAAACATTGTGATAACAACAACAAAGACAAGGACAATAGTCTGAATGTAAATAGTGTAAATAATTATTTACTTTTGTATTCACACCTATATGGAGTTGTGATTGCAAGTATTTAATTCAGTGACTGAAACCAATTGTGACTCTAGGCTGAAATTTACTGCACTGCTTGTCGCATTGTCAACCAGGAATGAGTCTTCAGAATGTGGCTCAGATTGCAGGAGAAAATCAGTTAGTTCAATCCTAGGTGCTTCATACTTTCGGCCTCGTGCCACATCTATGTTTTGATTGGTAAATCACAATTTTTTGTCTGTTGCCTGGAGAACCTTTGTCACTCACCTTAATATCAATCAGGATTTTTGTTATTCAGTTGCTGAGAAAGTCAAGCAGAGAGTGGAAGAGAAAATTTGGAAGTAAAAACAAGCAGAGACTATAAGATCAAAGGCTATTACTTACTTTGAACCACATAATGGTATGAAAAAATAATGCTTGGGTAGAATAAAGGTTATCAGCACAGAATGTAGAGTCAGCAATCAGAGTTCCAGTTCAAGCCAAGTCCATTGCATTCAATTCACATGAATATACTTCAGAAAGGCATAAATCTTTTCCATTCCTCAAGTTTAGGTTAAATAGTAGGGTAAACTGAAACCTCTATCCTTTTTTTTAACCACTCTAAGAGAAAGAAAAACAATGGAGAATGTAATGTGGAAATCATCCCACTACCTTTCAAAGAAATTATGGAAATTCACACATATTAAAAGAAGCTGTGTAAAGCCATATTCACCTACATTCTGAAGGGACATGGAATTTACAAAAAGAAAAAATGAATCTTTTACATATGTAAGCATATATTTTAACTGAAAGAATTTTCAAATACTGTCTTTTACTTTACTCCCACAAAATCCTACATATCATGTGTTACAACCTAATACTTATTTTAATCCATAGTTGTGCAATTAAAAAAAAAATAAAACCCCCCAAAAAAAAAAGAGAAAAGCAAAAAAAGAAAACAATGACCTGAACTTATAATCATGCAGTCAGTTATGTGCCATGTGTGATTCACGCTTAGGCGATCATGTATCTTTTGATACATGACTGACGAGTCAGATTTTTTTCCCTGCAGTAGGTTGCCATTTCTTTCTGCAGTAGACCAGTTGCCATCCAAGGTTATAGAACCCAGTCTGTCCTGCTAGTTACCCATAGCTGGGGGGAGAAGAGAAGGATTCATACCTTTCCCAAGAGTATTAGCACATAAATGAATGTAATGGATTTGACTGGAATTCAAATTCGACTCTCCGATTCCTCAATCTGAGCTGCTATCTATTACTCCACTGTGCCTCCTCACACACATATCTTAATTTATAAAATCTGTATGTGTGCAAAAAATGAGTGATAAGAATATCATGGGCTGAGCATGTGACAAATGAGGAAGTTTTAAGGAGAATAAGGAACTACAAAGAAACTTTTTTTTTTTTTTTTACAGTAATGTTCATCCAGGAGCCACTTGAGGTTTGAGGTTACAGAACAACAGGTAATTAATTTTTTTTTATGGAGATATGTAAATAAAGATAAAGATGTTAACCCTAGACTTGAACAGGTTAAGATTGTAGCCATTGGGAAAGCATCCTCTTGGGAGTTGGTTCCACAAAGTAGTGACCTTCAAGTTTATTCATCTCTGAGGAGATTGTCCAGCATTCACTGGTATATAGGAGGTGAGATAGTAGTTCAGTATTCTTTTTTTTTCTCATATATGAACAGTTTCTTATCTCTTAATACTCTGCTTAGTTTCTGAAAGTCATCTTTTGCAACTCTTATGTTCACTTTATATTTCTGTGTAGACCCTGGAAAATAAATACTGCATATTTTTATAGAAATCACCTTGATTATTTATTAGAGAGTTCTGCAATGTTAGAAAGATTTTTAAGGCAGATTTATTGTAGTGAGTTTAATCATCTTCATTGAAGGATACTATGACCTTGTGTCAATATTGAAGTCAAATAATCACCTTTTATTTCTGTATGGTAAAAATCTTACTATATATCAATTTTCTTTTTTTTATATATATATATATATATATATATATATATATATATATATATATATATATCTGCTTTTATTTATGACAACTCTCTTTTACAATCACATTAGTTAAGTAACATCAAATCTGATCAGTACCTAGATGGGTGACCACTTGGGAATGCCAGATGCTGCAAGCTTGGATGAGTGGTGGTGCAATGGATAACAGCTCAAAATTCAAAATTATAGAAAAATTGAGTTCTTTTGATTTCAGTCAGGTTCACTATATTCAATTTTGCAAATAATATTGGGAAATGTATTTTATATGAATAATTAAAACTCCCTTTTAAAATGATTTTTAATTAATTTAGGTTTGTTGAAAAATCATTTCCAAAAAAAAAAAAAAAATCTAAAAATTGTTGATTTTTAACAATTATAATAAATGGAATCAATCAATTTTTTCAATAAATTATCTTTTCAAAAATTAGCAAAGGAATTTTTTGAATAATGATCATCTGACAAAGGTTTTTAAATGTAAATTTTTAAAATCACTTAATTTTTTTAAATTATAAAAAAAAATTTGTATTATTTCAATAAACACAAAGATATATATTTGAAAAAGCTAGGAAAAAAATTTCTATTTGGGAAATATTTGTTTAGAATAATCCAGAAATTATATGAACTGTATGCAGATGAATAGAAAATGAATTGAAAAAAATATACAATTTTAAAATTAGATTTCAAAGACGATCATGTGTCTTCTCACCAAATTTATTCAACCTCTACAAAAACCTATCCCAAAAATGAACTGGAATCAAATCAGGGTTATTATCTGTATTATAATTTAATCTTAATATAAGATTTATGCAGATAACACTGTGTTGATTAAAAGATGCAGAAATTGAACTTTCATGGATCTTTTTAAGAACATATTTTTGTTCTAAAAATTGAAAAAAATAAAAATAAAAAGATAAGACAAAAATATTGTTTATCAGCAAAAGAAAAAAACATTTTGATTTTGACATCAAACAAATAAAATAAAATTTTTTTATCATGGTAACTTTTTGTCAGATGATGGAAGATGTAAATGTTGAAATCTGAACATGCATCTTTTAAATCAAAAGATGCATTTCACCAAAAACTAAAAAAATTACTAAAAAACAAAAAAAATTTTCATATTATTTCAAAAAAAAAAATATGGATTTTGTTGTATTTTTATCAATCTTCTTTATAAAAAAAAACCACTGAATTCTTGTTCTTTTTTGTCCTCTCTTCATTTTCACTCTTAAAAAAAGTAAATGTGTTTCATCTTAAATTCAAATTATCCTATTGGGGTGAAATAATGAAATAAAAAAAAAAATCTCAATATTAAAAAAATAAAAAAATTTTCTAAATTTGATAAAAAAAATTTTGATAGGAATTTCATGGATGGATAAAATATAAGAATATAAAATGGAAACAAAAGGACTTATAATCTGAATCTTGGTTTAGAAGATGAATTGAAATCTAGGGCTGATAAATTTGACATTGAAAAAAAAAAAATTTCTTAAAAAAAAGG